TTGCCCTGGGCTGTCCCGCGCTCCCGCTCTCCTGTCTGCCTGTTGCTCCCACCCGCGGCCCTTCCTCGCGTTCCTCACCTTCCTCATCATGTGCGCGGCCGCCTGCCAGCCGCGCGTGCCGATGTGCTTGTTGAAGGAGATGTTGAGGTGCGTGGCCGACTCGTAGTACTCGATCATGTCGAACAGCGCCGACGCGCCCTGCGGGGTCGTTAACGGCAAAGCTCGTTAGGGGCCGCGCCGGGACACGGGAAAACCACGGAGGTTGGGAGGCGGGAACAGCCGGACGGGCACCGCGTTCCCGGCCCGTTCGCTCTCCTTCTCCTTCCCCTTTTGCTTTCCCAGAGCTCAAGCCCAAACCCTTCCCGTGCCGCGCGTTATCCCGGCCGGAATGACCCCAATGACTCGGGAGGAGGGAAAGCATTTGCCCAAGGCCCCGGAGGGAAGCGCTGGATGAATCCTGAGTCACCGAGCTCCCTCGGAGCATCCCGGCAGCTTCCCGCACATTTGCATCACGAGGGATGGATTTTCCATGCCCCGAAGCCCCGAGTTCCCTCGCGGAGCCGGGAGCCCTCCGGGAAAACCGCGCAGGAACGGGTGAATAAAGGCAGCCCAAAAGGGTAATTAAAGAGCAGGGCTTGAGGGAACAACAAGACTTTCCATGCGGATGAGGCTCATCCGTAGGAAACGATGATGGGGGGGAAAAATGCGGGCTCGCCGGTCCGGTCCGGAGTGACTCAGGCGGCACGTGATGCTCCGGGAGGAAAAAGCAGCGGGATGAATCAGGATTGGGAAGGGATGTGGGAAAACAGCGGCTCCTGTGTGAGGAGCTGCAGGGCCGGCTGTGAAAACTGCCCTCCCGGGCGGCATTCCGGGCCGGCACCGGCTTCCCGGGATAACAAAGGCAGGTTCTGCAGCAAGGTGACACGCGGAGGGCGCTCGGATGGCCCGGAAAGGTGATCCGCAAGCGGCGCCGAGCGGAGAAACCCGAGAGGCGCCTCCGGGATCGGCTCCGGGAGCGGCGGGATGCGGCGGCGCTCGTTAAGCGAGAGGAATTCCAAAAATGGGAAAGTGCTCGGCGATTAGCGCGGGGTTTTAATGAGGGTTTGGATAAGGCCTCAAGCGAGCGATCCGCCCCACGTTGCCAAACGAGGAGCGTTAACCCCGGGATCCCTTCGGAGCGGGAACGCGGCCGCGGGAGCCTGGGCACCCCCCGTCCGCGTCCCGGCTCCGAGGGCTGTTTGGGAGCCCCAAAACGGGAAGAAAAGGCTCCGAGAGCGAAAGGGGAAGCGGCCGGGCCGGTCACTCACGTCCTCATCCAGGCTGGTTTGCTCCAGGTCCACGATCTTGAACTGGACCCGCTTGAAGATCTCCTCCAGCGCCTCGCACGCCCGGTAATCCAGCTTCTCCCCTGGAAAACGGGAGAGAAGAGGCTACAACGCGAGTTCGGGGGGTCCGCAGGGATCAGACAGGCGAACCCGCCCC